TGCTTTCGAACTGCTAGGTGGGCAGGCGCTGGGACCGAGCAGCGGGAGCGCACCCTGCTGCGGGGATTCGAACCGCCGACCTTTCGATCGGCAAGCCCTAGGCGCTGAGGCTTTTACCCACAGCGCCACCTGCGTCCCTTGCAAGATACTTTAATAAGTCACAATTACTACCATTTTACAGATTTGGAACTGAGGTTGAGGGACAGAGAGGGTGCATGGCAGCAGGGGGGTGGAGGGGGCGGTCTGCCCTGGGTGCCACTCTGGGAGAGGTGACAAGATGGCCCCTGCCTCCCCCCAGCTGTAGAGCGGCCGAGGGCGCCTGCAGTCCATATGGGCGCCACTCACGCGGCATCCATACGGGTTGCTGCTCTAACGTGCAGCAGCCGTATGGGCTGCCTCTCAGACAGCGGCTGTATGGGCTGCCGCTTGCATGGCAGCCTATACGGTCGCTGCGTGAGCCATGTGCGAGCGGCAGCCCATACGTACTGTGAATGTGCGGCATTCCGTATGGAGTGTGCACACGCGGGAATGTCAAAGTTAGGACCTCATCACAGGCTTCCTGAATCCAAGGACAATTGCAGGTTGGACTGGAACCATCATTCCTGAGACCTGCAGGTAAAGGGGGGGGTATACAAATTTAATAAATAATAAATAATACTAATCCAGTTCATGGCAATCTGGCAAGGTGCCGGATGAAAGTTGAAGATGGGAGTGGGAGGATGGATTCTGCCCCAAATTCTTTTCATATCTGCTACTGTTGGGCTCATTTAGTGAGTCACACAAACCCAACAGATCAATAGCGACTCATGCAATTCACATTTTGTATGGCTGATGATGCCTTTGACATCATCTTTGGAATTGCCTTGTAATTTAAACTGGAATGTTGCCATTTGACTCTTACAGTAAAGACGTCATAGACATAAAATGAAAACCTCTTTATCTCTCTTGTGTGGGTGGGAATCCCTAAGATAAGGTAGTGCATTATCAGAAGTATGTTATAGTGATATGTGGGAAAGAAAACAGGAACCACTCTTTTTAGAAAGAGAAGCAAGCTGTAAACATCAAAAGAGCAGATCCTCCAGAACTGGATGGTTGCCCCCGTCTGACTTTAGCATAGGATGGATGCCAAACAGAAACAACCTTTAAAAGAAATGCAGCCAGGCTACCTGACAATTATATAAAACAATGGTTTTCGCACTGTCTGCTTAGTAACTCTGTGGAAGCCTATCAGGGACTTCTCAAGCTGCAAATCAGATGGTAAAAGGCAGCTTGTCCGCTATTTCCATCTTTCTCCTCTTTGCAGCTGCAGGGAGTATATTGAAGAAGAAGAGTTTGAGCAGAAAGATTAAATACGGTTTAAATTCAGAAAATTTTAGAGATTTGAGGATAAGACAAAATTAATGAAATCAATGCAAAAAATGAAGGGGCTTGAGTAATAAGGTGAAATAAGAATTTGCAAGAATGGATTGATTATAAATGAAAATATGAAGTAATATTATATGGGGACCCATAATTAAGGGTAAGATAAGAGGGTATGAATTTGCTGAATAAATTTTTAAATGGAATACAAAGAGGGAGGTGAGAGGAAGTCAGGAAAATAAGTAAAAGAATGGTAGAAATTGAAAGGAGGGATTTTTATTTTTATTTTTTTCTTGTTTTTGTGTTGAATTTTTGGTTTTTGTAATTTTTTGTGTTTATTTTTTTCTTTGTTGTTTCTGTAACCTTTTTTCTTGTTAAAATCTAATAAAATATTATTTATAAAAAAAAGAAGAAGAGTTTGGATGAAGAAGAGTTTGGATTTGATATCCCGCTTTATCACTACCCTTAAGGAGTCTCAAAGCGGCTCACATTCCCCTTTCCCTTCCTCCCCCACAACAAACACTCTGTGAGGTGAGTGGGGCTGAGAGACTTCAGAGAAGTGTGACTGGCCCAAGGTCACCCAGCAGCTGCATGTGGAGGAGCGGGAGACGTGAACCCAGTTCACCAGATTACGAGACTACCGCTCTTAACCACTACACCACACTGGCTCTCATGTGCAGAGTTCGTGCAGGATGATGGTGAGGATCCAGCATTCAAACCCTTCCTCTGTGATATCAGGCTCACAAGGCCCGAAGGTAGAAATCTGCAAGCCACTGCAGATGTAGAAGGTAACAACAGATCTTTTCCTCACCTCTGCCAGCCTTTAAAGGAAGCACGAGCCAATTCACAGAACAGCTGACAAGCGGCACTGGGTAAACCGATAAGCCCCTGGTTACATGTAAATCACTGCAAAGCCTACATTCTCAGCCACAAACCAAGGCCTCTAGGAAGCAGGGAAAACAACAGCCAGCACTTTGTTTGCTTAGCTAGATTACATACCACACTGTGGCACGAAAGCTTGCCCAAGCAGGTAGAATGGATGCTTCTCCCTGGTGTGCTACCGTGGGGAGCCCAGCAGAAAAGGCTGGATGTTACTCCAGAGACAATAATCAGAGAAGCAAATGAGGTGTTCAGGGAGCAATTCACTTTCACGGGCAAGCTAGTTCAGTCAGACATGGGATGAAATTGCTCACCATCAGTGCAGAGCCACCAGCATTTCACACGATCGCTATATGAGTCTCTTTATAAATCTGTTTTATGGACTTCCGCAGTATAATACACATGGTAGCGTAGAGCAGCCTACAGAAAACACATAGGCATGGTGCAGACAGCTGCCTGCATTTTTATGCCACCTCATGCCACCCTTCTCCCATAATACAATGGAAAGCTGAATCTTTCTACTCCAAGCCTGAGACTCTTGCTCTCCTCACCCTGCTCATTCTCACATGTACAATACATGTACAACATGTGTCAGGCGCAACAGGAAAATAAGGGGTTCATTTAGACAAGTCCCATTGAAAATTGCAAACACTATAAACAGCTCATTGTTCTTTTCTAATCAAGCACTTTTGTTCTGCCATCAGCAACTGACTGCACTTTCCTCTCTACACTTCAAAATTGCTTCTTTTGAAGCATTGCAGCCCTTTCTGCTTTCTTCAGTGGGTTTTGCCAGGCAAAATTATGTTTCTCTGTCCAACTGAAGCGACTTATCTTTGCCATTTTTGTAAGTGAAAATGGATGGGATTCTGAGTCATATTTGTTTGCGTAGTAAGATACTGGAGGAAGCAATATTTCATGCAGAAATGACCAATTTGCAGATGTGCCCACCAAAACTGGCAGTAAAGAAGCTGCCTCATAGTCAAAATGATCCCTCTAGCCATTTGCTGTCAGTCCTGACTAGCAGCCCCAATCCAAGACCTCAGATGGTAGTCCTTCCAACTATTTGTAACTTATAACTGTTTTCTCAAGGAAGCTTGAGACCTTTTACAAACACAAAGCACATACATCCTGCCTGCCCTGAGTTACCCAGGTCAGACGTTTGGGGCACTTTCATATGGCAATCTTGGCTGCACACCCACAAGACATTTAAAACCCCAAGAATCCAGACAACCGTAGTTTGTTGAGATGCTGGGAATTATAGTTCTGTGAGGGGCAAAGTGCTGCTGATGTATTTAAGTTCTGTACAACATCCACACAACGTCATGTTCATCAAACTGCTGCCCTATATTATTTTCCCATTTAATCTGGATTTACCATTTCCATGGAAAATCCATGATTAGCTTAAAAAAAAACCAACACCACCACACCCAAACCTGTGGAAATGGTAAATCCAGATTAAAAGGGGAGGGAGTGGTATTTTGAAGAGGACGTCATTGTGTGGACGCTGTGAAAAACTTGAATGCACGAGCAGCACCAGCTCCACAGTAAGTGGCTGCTTATTGCACCCTCTAAGTCTTGGACTCACTGTGGACTCTGTGTTGCTCACAGGCAGGTCGATGAAGAGATGCACACAGGAAGGACAGCACTGTAGATTTATTGAAACATAAAGCTGCCTTTGAAAGCTGTAGCCTTCTGTTGCCTTCCTCCCTTCTCCCTCCAGAACCTCTGGAAGAGGCGTGGGGGGTCTGTTTCACCCCAAGGGGTGCGGAACCTTCTGGGAGCTCCATGCCTGTGGCAGATGTGGCCAGAGGCAAAACAGCAACGACATCCCAGCCACGCAAAAGCCAGATTCCAGCCCCTGCACCTCTCCACACAAGAGGCACAATCATTCTTCATGAATACAGGCCTGCCAGGCAAAAGCGCTCAAGGTGGGCACAGAGCGTGGCCTGTGGAGAGGCTCTGTTCTGGGGCAGATACGAGGGCGCAGAGAGCTGTGCTTGGCCTCCAGGCCTGAAGCTTCCCACACTCCTGCTGTTTCCAGTCCCTGCTCCACGTTATAAGGCTCATTATTCCTCCGCAGCAGGGGGTCAGACTAGATGACCCTCAGGGTCCCCCACCTCTACAATTCTAAGATTCTAGAAGGCTGCATACACACCATGCATTTAAAGCAAGCCGCCAATAACAATGGGAACTGTAGTTTCCCCCTCACGGCCCCAGAATTCCACCACCCACTAACAAACTACAGTTCCCAGGATTCTGGGGTGGGGGGGGGCTATGCCAGCTGATGCCCTCGTGAAAGTGCAGGCTGTGTAGGGGGGGGAAGGACTGCGATAGGATGGCTGGAAGCTAAAAATGCCTCAGGGCCTCAGGCAGAGTCCTCCTTTTGTGGAGCAGCCTCCATGTTAGCCGACTCCTGACACTGATAGCCTTCCTTAAGCACCTGGGTGTACAGAAGGCTTCCTGCACGCTCTGCTTTCTTCTCCCCCCTTGCTTCTCAGAGAAGATGGAATTTAGTATTCAGTTCACACATTTTCTTTCCTGTTTTTCTCTGGACTGAAATCATTAAACCAGAATTGGCCTGTCAGCCTTCTGCGGTTTCCTCCTCTCCCTTCCGCACCCTCTTTCATCTGTCAATTCCCCTTCAATTTATTCTCCTTTTTTGTGCGTGCATGTCTCTCCACTCACCTTAGATGACAGTTCACTCCTCTCTAAAGCACGAAACAGAAATCTTCCCCTTACTGTTCCCTAATTTTGCTCCTTACCTCCTCCAGTCCTGCAGGTATATCTGTTAAAATGAGCAAGGAATAAGAGGTGATGGTTCTGAATTTGCTGAACATGGTGGCAGCCATTTTGTCCTGTCCGGACTCCATTTTGGGAGCCAAAACTTGCTCTCAGTAAAGTAGCATGAACTGGAGTAAGTGTATTCAGTGCTTCCTTCCCAGTATATGCAGGTTCAGTTTGTCACTTGCTGGGAGCCAATTTATGGGTTTTATCGGTCTACCTGCCTGTCCTTATGCTTAAATACTAATATGATGTTTACGAAATGGTTATTTCACTTTGGTGTGTGATGTTTTTATTATTATTTATTAAAGTTATCCATTCTGAAGGAAATCAGCCCTGAGTGCTCACTGGAAGGACAGATCCTGAAGCTGAGGCTCCAAGACTTTGGCCACCTCATGAGAAGAGAAGACTCCCTGGAAAAGACCCTGATGTTGGGAAAGATGGAGGGCACAAGGAGAAGGGGACGACAGAGGATGAGATGGTTGGATGGTGTTCTCGAAGCTACCAGCATGAGTTTGACCAAATTGCGGGAGGCAGTGGAAGATAGGAGGGCCTGGCGTGCTCTGGTCCAGGGGGTCAGGAAGAGGCGGACATGACTAAACGACTAAACAACAACAACAAAAATTATATGCCACCTTTCATCTGAAGAGCCCAGGCAGGTCACAGCATAAAAATACAAGATAAAAACACAAAACACATAATAAAAACAAGAACAAAAACAAAGCAACCCCCCTCAACACATTTCAAAGGGTACTTAATGCAGTGTTTCCCAACCGGTGTTCCGCGGCACACGAGTGTGCCGTGAGACGTTGCCTCGTGTGCCGCGAGATGCCTGGAGGGAGGCGGGCGAGTCGGGCGGCGAGAGGCGGGGCGGCGGCGGCGAGGAGAGGCCGCGCCTCCTGCTGCTGCCTGGCGCTCCTCCTCGCAGCCGGCAGCGCTGCCTGGGCGCCTCCGCGCGACTCTGCCTCGCTGGGTTTGGTCTCCCAGCAGAGACGGGTCACACGCGCCCCTCCCTCCCTCCCTCAGCCTGCGCGGAGGGAGAGCCAGAGAGAGGCATCGCTCCTGCACGGCGGGAGAGGGAGCAGCCGGAGCGATGCCCCAAACGAACGCATGGGACCGGAGGGGAAATCCTCTCCGAGGCGGATTGAGCGCAGCTGAGAGAAGCCTTTCGAGGAGCTGCCGTGTCCCCTGGAAACCCCCTTCCCAGCTCTGCCTCAGCCACCGCCGCCTCAGTTGCCGCCGTCCCTCAGTCCCTCGCTCTGCTGCCTCCTCCCACCCCCAAAGCTTGGAGGTTCCCCAGCAAGGGGGAGGGAAAAAACTTTCACTTTTGTGCGTCCCTCCTGGCGTGACGCTGCGCGCTGACGTCACGGGGCGGGGCTTTAATGGTGGTGTGCCGCGAGATTTTTTTTCAGTAAAAAGGTGTGCCGTTGCCCAAAAACGTTTGGGAAACACTGACTTAATGGACCCAAGGCCTGTTTGAAGAGGAACATTTTCACCTAGCGCCTAAAGGCGTATAATGAAAGGCATTCCACTTTACTCCACTCTAACTGGCCCAGATATATTATCATACTATGAAGAAGGAATTTCAGAGTTTTAAAAAGAGATAAGGCAATGTCACTGATACTTGATGGCTGCATAGAATATAAGTGGGCCAGTGTGGTTGGAATCATATTAGATTTGATGAAGTGGACTTTTCCTAATATACAGGTTTGTGGTGCTGCGCTTCATAAAATCCCAATGTACCCAAAAATGGAATAAAGGCATCTAGCTCAGGCCAAACTACATGTTATGTTATTCATACTTTTTTTTAGAGTATGCTTGAACTGTCTATATTTATTTTTAAGAAAAAGCAGCTGTAGGGCCTTGATCTGGAATCATACACTTCAAGTGACCTGTTTTAAGTGGGGCATACCGGATCACAGGAGGCTTCTGTTTGGATCCCGGAATGTTTTTTTGGTCTGGAGCTCTGGAGCAAGACATTCACTTGAGTGCAAGTCAGCAGCGCCTTCCTGGCCGGCACTCTGGGACGACCCTGCTGACAATTGCCAGAGCGCCAGATCGAAAGGTGTGTCTCTCCTGACGTCCCATAGGAAAAGGATTCGTGTGCTTTAAAATAGACATATACTGTACTGTAAACACACACACACAGAGTGAAATTGCTTTGAGATACTTGGAGAGTGATTCTCTGCCCCCACTTTCGCAGGGCCACTCTCAGAAGGAAATGACTTGGTGGGGGAATGAGGTGTTCCTTCCCTTTTAAATACAAGTCAAAGTGTTTAAGTCAAAAGACAGGAGGGGGTGGAGTAATACACATAGATTAAAGGCATTAAAAACTACTAGAAAGGCTTACATGCACTTTTAAAGCTTTGTTTGTAATTCTAACTTCAGCAAAATCTTCCGGGGTACCACAATAAGCTGACAGGGCAGAAGGAAGCATCTGTCTCAGGGACATGCAGCTAGAGCGTGCTCTTTTGTTTTCCATCAGTCAAATGGACCATAAATAGAGGCTGATGGGCAATACTGTCACATAACCAAAGCAGCTCTGCTTTTAGGTTTGATCCAGGAAAAGCTCCTCACTGTTCACTTCCCCAGGAGGTCTGTGTAATATCTGAACAGACACTGCAAGGCTTAGGGATGGGAGATCTTCCACTTCTGGTCTCCTCAAATCTCTTTTCTGATGAGAGCAGCTTTTGCATCTCATTTGGAAACCAAGGACCCAGAGTCTGGAGGAAGAATAGGGAGGCACACAATGCCAGATGCTTGAAGTCTAGTGTGATGTTTCCACAGTCTGTGTTGATTTGGGGAGCCATGTCATCAGCTGCTGTTGGTCCACTGTGCTTCATGAAGTCCAGGGTCAAAACAGCTGTCTACCAGGAGATTTTATGCTTTATGCTTCCTTCCGCACTTTATGCTTCCTTCCGCAGACAAGCTTTATGGGGATGCTGACTTTATTTTCCAGCAGGACTTTGGCAGCTGCCCACACTGCCAAAAGTACCAAAACCTGGTTCTATGCCCATGGGATTACTGTGCTTGATTGGCCAGCAAACTCGCCAGACCTTAACCCCATAGAGAATCTATGGGGCATTGCCAAGAGAAAGATGAGAGACATGAGACCGAGCAATGCAGAAGAGCTGAAGGCTGCTATCAGTGCCACAGCTGATAGCATCCATGCCATGCCACATTGAGGTAGTAATTGATGCAAAAGGGGCCCAAACCAAGCACTGAGTACATATGCATGCTTCTACTTCTCAGAGGTCCAATATTGCTCTATGTGCAGTCCTTGGTTTGCTGGTTTCATTTAATATTCTAATTTTCTGAGATTGTTAATTTGGGGTTTTCATCAGCTGTACGCCATGATCATCACAATTATAACAAATAAAGGCTTGACATATCTCGCTTTGCATGTCATGAGCTTATCTCATATACAGTGGTACCTCGGGTTACATACACTTCAGGTTACAGACTCCTCTAACCCAGAAATAGTGCTTCAGGTTAAGAACTTTGCTTCAGGATAAGAACAGAAATCGTGCAGCAGCAGCGCAGTGGCAGCGGGAGGCCCTATTAGCTAAAGTGGTGCTTCAAGTTAAGAACAGTTAGAGGTTAAGAACGGACCTTCAGAACGAATTAAGTACTTAACCCGAGGTACCACTGTATTAGTTTCACCTTTTAAGTTGAATTACGATACATGTATTCTATTTTTCCGAGTTTCACCTGTATATGCATATTTGTACATATTGCTTTGCTGAAGACCTGCTCTGCAAAATCAGGAAAAGTGTGATGTTTGAAAAATGACTGCATTTCAGTTTGCATATTGTTTTGGGACGTGAGAACTAGATAGATACATCTTTAGATGTGAAATGAATTGAATCCCTCCATCCTTAGTGAATCCCTCCAAACTGGGAGGGGTGGCTAACACCCCAGAGGACAGGATCACACTTCAAAACGACCTTGACAGATTAGAGAACTGGGCCAAAACAAACAAGATGAACTTTAACAGGGAGAAATGTAAAGTATTGCACTTGGGCAAAAAAAATTGAGAGGCACAAATACAAGATGGGGGACACCTGGCTTGAGAGCAGTACATGTGAAAAGGATCTAGGAGTCTTGGTTGACCACAAACTTGACATGAGCCAACAGTGTGACGCGGCAGCTAAAAAAGCCAATGCAATTCTGGGCTGCATCAATAGGAGTATAGCATCTAGATCAAGGGAAGTAATAGTGCCACTGTATTCTGCTCTGGTCAGACCTCACCTGGAGTACTGTGTCCAGTTCTGGGCACCACAGTTCAAGAAGGACACTGACAAACTGGAACGTGTCCAGAGGAGGGCAACCAAAATGGTCAAAGGCCTGGAAACGATGCCTTATGAGGAACGGCTAAGGGAGCTGGGCCTGTTTAGCCTGGAGAAGAGGAGGTTAAGGGGTGATATGATAGCCATGTTCAAATATATAAAAGGATGTCACATAGAGGAGGGAGAAAGGTTGTTTTCTGCTGCTCCAGAGAAGCGGACACGGAGCAATGGATCCAAACTACAAGAAAGAAGATTCCACCTAAACATTAGGAAGAACTTCCTGACAGTAAGAGCTGTTCGACAGTGGAATTTGCTGCCAAGGAGTGTGGTGGAGTCTCCTTCTTTGGAGGTCTTTAAGCAGAGGCTTGACAGCCATATGTCAGGAGTGCTCTGATGGTGTTTCCTGCTTGGCAGGGGGTTGGACTCGATGGCCCTTGTGGTCTCTTCCAACTCTATGATTCTATGATTCTATTCTATGATTCTATGAATGTCCAGTTTGGAGGCCAGGTAGAATTCTCTGCATGCGCCTCTATACTTCCATGATTGTTAAAGCATGTGGCAGACACATGGCACACAGTACCCTCTAGCTCTTTCACATACATACATGCAGTCACACACCAGACATGCAGGCATGTGTGCATGCACACACATACACACACAAAACCAGCATTTCCATACCTCTCCATTCCCTCACTAGGATCTCTAATGAGCAGGCAGAGTGATCTCTCATCTCCAGTCTGAGTGCTAAGCACCACAGCACTAAGATCAGGCATGCCTGCTTTTTAGAGAAAGATCAGGCAGAGAGCTTATCTTTGATCTTAGCGCTGCTGTTGTATATAATGCTAAGATTAAAGATAAAGAGATCCCTCTGCCTAAAGGGTAAAAGGCAGCATTTCAGCTCACACCCACCACAGTGCTGGCTGGCGTGCAGGTGGGGAGGAAAGCCTCCTGGTGATCAGATGAAAATGAGAGAAATAGTTGGGTCATCAACTTACTGATGTCCCCAACAGCCAAATCTCAGAATGACTTCATCTCA